CATTTGGAACTAAATTAGCGACCGTCTTTGCTCTAAGACAATGCAGTGCCTATTTATTTCTGCTTTTAAGTTTTTTCTTTACTTTTGTTGAAATGTTGCCATGTTTAGTGAAAGTGGACCTATTAAACTTATTTAAAACTCCAGATTTTTATGTTTTTACTCTACTGGAGTGACTTTGCATGATTCACAGCTCCAAATAATCCATATTTATCTCATACTGGGGGTCATTCAGCCCCTCAGTTCAGCTCCCTGCAAAAAAAAGACATAGCTCCTTTAAGCCAACCTAGTCTTTATTAACTGCCCCTTGCAAGCAAAAGATTTGCAGATCTATGTCTTACAGCCATATTTGGTATAACCAGCCTCATAAAGAGCTATAAGTGGATGAAAATCTACATTTCTTTCACATGGATTTAGCAATCTGAAATGTTGGCCATGTTTAACATGACAGGAAACAAAGAAAAGCATAATAGGTCCACTTTAAACATTCACTGGAGCATGCAAACACATGTTCACAAACTTACTTTATTGTTATAAATAAAGAAGATGTCCCACTTTTCCATGAACTGAAAGTCAACGTTATTGATAGTATCAATAAACCTGTTTTAAATATTGAGATTATTTTGTAGATCTTTCAGGAAATAGAAGTTAACACACAATCTCTATTTCTTAATTGATAAGCAGAAGATTTGTGCTCATATTTATATTGAATCTGATGTCAGAATCGGGATCAGGGCTCAGTTTAAAGATGGCTGCAGTTATTACCTCACTTGTCAGTTCCTGTTAGCATGATGCTAAAGCAAAGAGGCAGGTGTTGTTTTTGCCAGGAGAGCAGGAGACTGAGTAAACATATCATTCCATGCTAACAACATAAAGCTGCTTCATTCAGGCTTTCTTTAACATATATTCTTAATTTCTAAGTACAGAGGCTTTGACAGACAACATTTCATCTTCTCATACTGCATCCACATATTTTATTTACAAGGTAAAAACTTCTCTTTTTTAAGTCGAATCAAACAACTAATGACAGTAACACAATTTGGCCAGTCAGACATGTGTTTGTTCCAGATTCACTGTGTTCCCAGAAGCCATCACTGAGATATAGCTGCCTGTAAATTGACAAAATGATTTTGACAGAACATTATAAACATTAAGATATTGACCACAAAGGTTAATTTAATTCAAATTAGCAGTTGCAGTATACAAATTTTCAACTGTATGGTCCCTGAGGCGTTATATTAGAGGTTGCATGAAACCTTCTTAATTTCACAAGTGCTTCTAGTCATATATTTGATCATTTAATATAACGTGGTTCAAAGCATATTAACAGTGTTATTTACATTTTTACAAAAGCAAACATTTTACAGTATCATGCATTATGAATACTGGATACAGGAATTGCCATCACAACCAGGTTATCTTTATACACAATCTGTGTATTGCCAGCCTGCAGGCCGTGTGTGTGTGTGTGAGTGCATTAGGCGACCAAAGATAATGGCGTAACTGGGAAAAACAGGAGTTCAAACCACAAACTGTTATTCCAGCTGTAACGGGCCCTCAGCCTGGGAAAGCTACTCTGAGTATTGTTTCAGTGATTGTTTATTAGACGTCTGCAAAAAATGCTAAACTTTTTGCAGTGCACGATGCTAAAAATTCTCTCGACTAGTGTTTCCATTACGCTAATTTTGGTTGTTTGTTTTGCACTTTCCCCATTCAACAAGCTCTGCTTTTCACACCTGTCCATAAATCTGTTAATCTTAACAAAGATTAAGCACAGATTGTATATTTGGAAATTTTATATGAACGTAGACATATCTGATGATTTATAATGTTCTGTAAACGGCACACGGCTATAACAGTGCCGTGAGGGCACAGAAACAGGAGGACAGGCAAGTAATAATGCAATGAGGACTGTCAAGTTCATTGATATAAACAAGCAACACCTATACTCCAGAGCCAAGACCCTCTTTGTTGAGCCCTGAAGGAGAGGCAAAAGCCCCCATCTGTACACATATAAACACGCACAACTGTGAGAAGAGCTTTTCAGTGAACTATGTGAACAGCTGAGACTACTGAGGAAGGTTAAAGGGTTGTGGTGGCTGACGTCACAGAAGGGAAAAGGGTGCGACTTTTCCACTGCCTAAATTCAGTCCTTCCTCTTGATAATTCTGACTTGCACAATAAGCAAGAACCATTTGATAAAAGCACAGAATGAAATACTATTGACTTATCCAATGTTTGAATTTTTGGTCATTCCTTAAGACTGAGATCTGCTTTATTTCTTCATAGTTTGCTTCCAAGGAAAAACAATCGATTGTAATTGTTTAAAGTGGTCTTGAGCAACAGTTCGTCGCTCTTTCTGGAGGGTTTTAACAGTTCTTCTTTCCCACGTCAATTGAATCCAGTGCTTTTACCTGACCATTTTCAGAACAATGTTTTTGTTTGTCAGAGGGCCCAGTGGCGCCAGTGTCTGGCAGCCTCGTCTCTGTCAGTGCGCCCCAGGATGGCTGTGGCTACAATGTAGCTTGCCATCACCAGTGTGTGAATGTGTGTGTGAATGTGTGTGAATGGGTGGACGACTGAATGTGTAAAGCGCTTTGGGGTCGTTAGGGACTAGTAAAGCGCTATACAAATACAGGCCATTTACCATAACATAGACTTATGAATCATTCAAAGCAGCTAATTCAAACTGAAGGGATGAACCAATTATGTGTCTTCAGTCTGAACAGTCTCTCAAAGTATTGTCCTTAAGAATTACGAGGAAATTTAGCAGACACCTGACAGAGGACCTGAGAGATGCATCTGACCCTTCAGTTGATCCATCTGTTGTTTGCCAAAGCCTCAGACAAGTAAGGGTGGCTGTCAAGAAGCCATTATCATGGAAGGGAAACAGATAGAAAAGGCTGAGGTATGCCAGGTATTACACAAGAACTGAACTGAAAAATAGTGGAATGATAATTCCAAATTCAAAATGTTTGTTTTTTTCATCAGCATGTATGGAGAAGATTGAGAAAGAGGGGTTGACAGCCACCTGTAAAGCACGGTGGAGGCTCTGTCATGGTTTGAGGCTGAATTCTAGCCAGTGTTGTTTGACATTGTGCCACAAGTGATGGAAATATGAACACAGAAAGGTACAGTCAGAGTTTGATCAACCATGCAATGCCATCTAGAAAATATCTGACTTGCAATGGCTTTATTTTTCAAGGATGACAATGATCCCAAACATACTGATAATCCAGTAAAAGCATGGAACGATTGAACAATATCAGTCATGGATTGGCCTCCCCAGAGTGCAGACTACAACATTGAAGCAGTGTGGGATCATCTTGACAGAGAAGAGAACAAAAGGCAGCCAACATCTAAAGAAGAGCATTACATTCAATTCAACTCAATTCAATTTTATTTATATACCACAAAAGCAGTCTCCTCAAGGTACGTTATATTGTAACGCATAATAACAATGTCCTTCAAGAAGCCTGGAGACCTATTTCTGGAGACTGCTTAAAGAAACTACAAGAAAGCTTGTCTAAGAAAGTTCCAGCTATGTTGAAGAATAAAGGTGGTCATACCAGACACTGACTTTTAAGCTCAAAATATTTCTATTAACTCCATTTTAGCTTTATGTACAGTATTTCCATGCATGTTTGCACATTTCAATAAAGCTGTGCACCTATTTCTCATTTTCCTAGAAAAATATAAAAGAAATGTTGGGTGGCTCAAGACTTTTGCACATTACTGTATGTTGTAGGATTCGTATTGCTGAAATCTAAAAAGAATCTATCCTCTGCTATGAACATGAGCTGCTTAAAGCATACCAAAAATAATGTTTGAAAAATATGATTCTGCTCCTTAAATGTTATTTTTACATAACAAACATTCCCAACATTGTCTAACTGTAAGCTTAGCATAGGTGGGGCATGTCAATGTAATTACAACGGGATGCTCTGGAGCTTATGCATAAATATAAGGCAGTGCACTCGGTGCACCTGAGCAGCTGAATAATGGATGAGCTGTATAATTGCATTTGTACATTAAAATCCCAGGGAAAAAGAACTTGAGCAGTGCAGATTATATTCCCAGATACAGAAGTGAAGACCCTTGAAACTACTTGATGTCAATTTAATGTGGAATTCTGGTAAGCTGAGAAAGATGCAAAAAGCAAAACAACTATAAACAATAATAAAGACAATAAAGAAACA